TCTAAAGAATGCTTTCAGAACCTTGTTGAATCAATGCCACGTAGAATTAAGGCAGTTCTGAAGGCGAAAGGGGGTCAAACACCGTATTAATATGGTGTTCCTAATAATCCTTTAGGTGAGTGTATATATAGACACACACACATATATATATATCACATCAGATTGTAATGGGGGAAAAAATCATGCTGGATATCTATGGACCGGGTAATGTGTTAGGAACGAAAGGATGCCACATTGTTTGATGGAAATGCAAATGATCAACCTACAGAGGGCTGAATTCAAAGACACCCCAAGAATCAATGTGAAAAAAAGATGTGGGAGGCTAGTCCATTTTGCCAAAATTTCATTGCAGCATCTCAAGATTGTACTCAGTAGTACAGTTTGTATGGCTTCACATGCTTATATGCATGCCTGATAACGTCAGGGCATCCTTCTAATGAGACGATGGACGGTGTCCTGGGGGATCTCCTCCCAGATCTGGACCAGGGCATCACTGAGCTCCTGGACCTGGTGGCATCAGATGGACTGAAACACAATGTGCCAGAGGTGTTCTATTAGATTTAGGTCAGGCTAGCGTGGGGGCTAGTCAATTGTATCAATTCCTTCATCTTCCAGGAACTCCTTGCATACTCGCCACATGAGGCATTGTCGTGCACCAGGAGGAACATAGGAACCACTGCACCAGCGTAGGGTCTGACAACGGGTCCAAGGATTTCATCCTGATACCTAATGGCAGTCAAGGTGCCGTTGTCTTGCCTGTAGAGGTCTGTGCATCCCTCCTGGATATGCCTCCCTAGACCATCACTGACCCACAACCAAACCAGTCATGCTAAACAATGTTACACGCAGCATAATGTTCTCCACAGCTTCTCCAGACCCTTTGCCACGTCTGTCACTTGTGCTCAGGGTGCCACTGGCAAATTCTAGTAATCGATAGCAAATGCACCGTCCTGGAGGAGTTGGACTACCTGTGGACTTACCTGTGTAAATGGACTGCATTTATATAGCGCTTTTCTACTCCTACGAGTACTCAAAGCGCTTTACATTCACACACCAGTGGCGAAGGCTGCCATGCAAGGCGCCAACCTGAACACCGGGAGCATTTTGGGGTTCAGTGTCTTGCTGAAGGACACTTCGATGGGGTCGGGAGGACCCGGGGCTCGAACCGGCAACCCTCTGGTTGCCGAACGACAGCACTACCTCCTGCGCCACCATCTTCCCAGGGTCCAGGTATCTCTTCATGCTACCAGTAGTGACACTGACCGTAGCCAAATGCAAAACTAGTGAAACAGTCAGAAAAGATGAGGAGGGAAAATGTCAGTGGTCTCCACTTGTTAAATCATTTATGTTTTGGGAGTCATCTCATTGTTGCCCCTCTAGTGTACCCGATGTTAATTTCATTAACACCAAAGCAGCTGAAACTGATTAACAACCCCCTCTGCTACTTAACTGACCAGATCAATGTCCAAGAAGTTTAATTGACTTGATGCTATATTCTAATTAAAAAGTATTCCTTTTAATTTTTTTGAGCAGTGTACATGTGAATTCAAGTGATAGGAGGCCACCTGTGGAATATGTCCCCAGAACAGGGACAGTGCAAGCTGAGGCACATAGTGTGCAGAAGTCACTATAGAGTCAATAGCTACAGACCTCCAAATTTGTAGAGAACAAGAACAGTGTGTAGAGAACTTCATGGAATGGGTTTCCATGACCGAGCAGCTGCATCCAAGTCTTAAATCATGAAGTACAATGCAAAGCATTGGATGCAGTGGTGTAAAGCACACTGCCACTGGACTCTAGAGCAGTGGAGACATGTTCTCTGAAGTGACACATCACAGTTATCTATCTGCCAATCCGAAGGATGAGTCTGGGTTTGACGGTTGCCAGGAGAATGGTACTGCGTTGTGACAAGTATAAAGTTTCGTGGAGGGGGGATTATGGTGTAGGGTTGTTTTTTAGTGGTTGGGCTTAGCCCCTTATTTCTAGGGAAAGAAACTCTTAATGCTGCAGCATTCAAAGCCATTTTGGATAATTTCATGCTCCCAACTTTATGGGAACAGTTTGGGGATGACCCCTTCCTCTTCCAACATAACCCCACACCAGTGCACAAAGCAAGGTCCATAAGGACATGGATGAGCGAGTCTGTTGTGGAGGAACTTGACTGACCTGCACAGAGCCCTGACCTCAACCCGATAGATCACCTTTGGGATGAATTAGAGAAGACTGCGAGCCAGGCCTTCTCGTCCAACATCAGTGCCTGACCTCACAAATGCTCTCCTGGAAGAATGGTCAAAAATTTCCATAAACACACTCTTAAACCTTGTGGGCCAACTCCATATTAAAGCCTATGTATTAAGAATGGGATACCATTAAAGTTCATGTGTATGTAAAGGCAGGTGTCCCAATACCTTTGGCAATATGGTGTAGGTCAACTGGTAAATTGAAAGTGTCACCTTCCAACTCAGCTGTCTCTTCCCCACGACAAACCAATACAATGCCCATATAACTGCTGATGCTGCACCAATCTACCTGTCAATATTCCACTGCATTCCCTCACTCATAAACAAGACCCAAGATATTCTCCCCTTGTGGCAGTAACTCATCCCCAACCTAGAGGGGGCAATCCACCCTTTTCTGATTGAGAACCATGACCTCAGACTTGGAAGTACTGATTCTTATCCCAGCTCTTTGCACTCAGTCTCAAACCATCCAGATCTCACTGGAGGTCACAGCTGGAAGCCATCTGGACCACATCATCTGCAAAAAGCAAAAAGTTGATCCTGAGATCATTGACCTGGACTGTCCTGGACACCCTCCACCCCTTGAATCGATCCGTAAAAATTATGAACAGAATCAGTTACGAAGGGCAGCTAAAACTAAATAGAAATATGTCATTGAAATAAAGTAATATAAACTAAAAACCATGCTGAAAACTAACTAAATCTAAGCTGGATTTTAAATGAATAAAAGTGAATTACACTTAAAGAAAACAAAAAAAAACACAATTATTGTAACACTGGTTTGCACCCAGAAATTTTAAAGCTGGCCACTCTTTCCTCTGGATCTACTCTGATCAGTTTTCATTGTGTGTTCTCTTTTACAAATCTTTCTGAATTCTGATTAATTAATTTGTCTTTTTGGTGTTGTACTAGTACTACTGCACCAGATTTTGCACCTCCTCCCTGTAAGTTATATCACCATCGTTTGTGATCAGGTCAATAACTGTGGTGTCTTCCCCAAAGTTGATGATGTTCGATATGTGGACAGGAACAAAATTGTAGGTGAACAGGCCATAGAGGAGGGGACTGAGCATGCATCTTTATGGTGCCCCTGTGCTCAGGGTCAGAATGGAGTGGGAGTGCTTTTCTCCCCTGACAGTTGTTCGGGAGCTCTGTCTTCCAGTTGCATATATTTTTGTTTAGGCCTAGACTGAGGAGTTTAGTGGCCATCATATTGTGTATGATTGTTTTGAACGCATAAACTAGTCAAGGACTAGCATTCTAATGTAGGCACCCTTCATTTCCAGGTGATTTAGAGCAATGTGTAAAGTGATACAGATTCATTGTTTGCATGTTTGCCTGATATACGCACTGATATGAAAGGAGGAAGGCAAAATTCTCTGGATATGAGTCATAACCGGCCTCTAAGCATGTTGCATGCTGAAACAAAAAGGACACAAAAAACCAAAAAAGATCACACAAAACAAACGGCACATAGGACACACATCATACACACAGGCCTGCAGTACACTGCCTGTCTTCTCACCTGCATTTAGACATGTTTCAGAAAAGCATTTTTGCTTCTTGGTAGGCCCTGGCCAGTGCCAACCGCGTGGGTTCTCGATCATGTAGGGGGTGCTTGAACCTCGGTATATTTTCTCTGCAAACTCATATGTCCCAACTGTCCAAAACTGCAAATGTTATGAATTTTAAGTAACAACAAGTGAGTGGTATAAGTAGGAAAAAATACATGGTATAATTCAGCCAGGGAAAAGTTGGACCAAAACGCTACATGGTACCAAAGCACCTGGCTTCTTACAGGAATCCACAGTAGCTCCTGAACTTTCACATTGATAGTCCCATGGTGAACACACAGGGCTCTGAGCTTCTGAGCTCAGTTACAATACAACAGTCAATTTAGTGCATTTTACTTGTTTAACATGGAAGTTTGTTTGAAATGTGCCTAACAGGTGCGTTGACTGTTTGTGAACTTGCAGCTGTTGAGGGTCGGATAGTTCACTGGATCGAGAGCAAAGCTTCTTTTGGGGATGATCACAGCCACCAGAATTACCTGAATGAGCAGTTCTGGAGTTATTGGAACAGGTATGATGTCATCAAAATGAAAACAGTTAGAGGGACTATTGTGGTCCAGTTTTATTTATAAAATCGATTTAAAATCAGGAAAACATAATAATACTCATTATTCCAGTAGTGTATCACTCCACAAATATGACATCCATGGTGCCTTTCTCCTTGAAATGCTTTCACAATGAATTGTTTCTAAAAATATGAGCATTGGTTATCTGGCTTTCAGATAAGGCATAATAGTTTTCATTGGAACTGTAATACTCAGGGAGACCGGTGCACCACAAATAACATGTATTTGATGGATCTTTTTCAAACTTTGCAAACATGGATAAATAACTTGGACTGATCCAATTATGATTACCAATATATGAACCTGTTTTAATACGGTTTATCAGTGTGTGACTTTGCATTTGGTCGGCAGACTAGTTTGTTCTGTCAGGCTTTTAATACTGGCTGCTGCAATTTAAGATACATTGCTTGAAAAAATTTATGTCATACCCTCCATAAATTACACCACAATAGGTTGTACCCAAATCTAGTATGATGACCTTTCCTTCTTATGATTCTCCCACATAGGTGCCTATAGCCTGACTTATATTTAAACATTTTAGTGTTGGTGTGATTTGTAAGTGTATTTCCAAACTAATGTCTAATATTAGTTCCTATTTGATTTTACTCTGTCTTCCTCAGGTTTGGCCCAGGATTGGTTATCTACTGGCATGGCTTTATTGAAGAGCTGGACTGCCATCGAGACAGAGGCATCATGCTGAAGGACAGCTTCCCCTCTGACATTGTGACTTTCAATTACAGGACTGGCTGAGGCCTGAGTGCCGAAGAAAGGCATCTGCAAGGTTCATGAGTAGCTGCTTTTCCTTTCTTTTGATGCAGTAGTAGCCAGTAGCTTTCCTGGCCTGTCCCAAGGTTAGGCCAGCATTTTTAATATGGAAGCACATACTTTGTTTCTGCTTAATTAAATTTCTAGCTCTAAGAACTGAGGAGATGTATCTTATCAGACTGACTTGTTTCTCTTGGTAAAAGATATTTTATAGTTTTATGCATTGTAGGTATTTTCATGTGGTACTTTTTTGCCTTCTCTAGTGTAAAACATTAGCAGTTCAATGCTTCAGCTTTCATGCTCCTTTAATGAAAATGACAAAATAAAATCTTGCACAATCATTCTGTTTATCTTTTGTTCATGAGTGAGGGAAGGTGGGAGATTGGTAGATGGATTGGTGCAGTGTTGTCAATAAGGCTGATGCTGTACTGTTCTCTTGGGCAAAGAGGGAGCTGAGCTGGAAGGCAAAGCTTTTGGTTTACCGGTCGAGCTTCATTCCTGCCCTCACCTATGGTAATGAGCATTGGGTAGTGATTGAAAGAATGAGATTGTGAATACAAGCGGCAGAAATTAGTTTTCCTCCGATAGGTGTCTGGGCTCAGCCTTAGAGAGAGGGTGAGGAGCCTGGACATTCAGGAGGTGCGTAAAGTAGAGCGGCAGCTCCTCTGCATCAAAAGGAGCCAGTTGAGGTAGTTCAGGCATCTATCTAGGATGCCTCCTGGACAGCTCCCTCGGCAGGTGTTTTGGGCATGTCTAACCTGGAGAAGGCCCCGAGGAAGAACCAGGACATGCTGGAGAGATTATATATCTCAGCTGGCCTGGGAATGCCTTAGTATTCCCCTGGTGGAGCTGGAGGTGGTGGCTGGTGAGAGGGAGGTCTGGGCATCCCTGCTTAGACTGCTGCCCATGCAACCTGACCCTGGATAAGCAGTAGAAAATGGATGGATGGATGCTTTGTACAATAAATGAAGTGAGGTTACACCAATTTGCTTTCATAACATGCAACATTCAATAATTACTATCGGCACTTTATTGTTTTAACTATCCGTTAATTAGATCAACTAAAAGTTTAAATACGCTATATTAATATACTGGACTGGGAGTGAAGGACAGGGCCATAGTGAGTTAGGTAATTATGGGGCCAGCTCAGTGGTGTGTTTGCCCTTCTGGATGCTTGCGTCCAGTCAGACTTCGTCTGCGAGCGATGTAAGTTAGTGGACTCACTCATGGTCCATGTTCGTGACCTCGAGGAGCAACTGGCTCTCATCCAACATAACAATGAGTTAAAGGAGAGAGTTGACTTTTTAGGGAGACTGTGTGTACGTCACAAGCGGGGAGGGGGGAGAATGATGAACAGGTAGGTCGAGAGAGCTGGGTGAACGTAGGTCGTAGACGTAGAAAAGGGCGTACACAATTCAGAGGCGGCATCACCTGAAGTGACGGTGTCTAACCGTTTTCAGGTGCTTCCAGCTTTAGAACCGGAAGAGACTGGGGAGGCAGGTGGGCCCTTGGGCATCAAGGAGCCGCCTACCCCCAGGAGGAGGGAGGTTGTGGTAGTAGGGGATTAAATTATCAGAGGTGTACACAAACAACAAATTTATTTTTGTATAGCGCATTATCACAACATTACACTGTTCCAAAGCGCTTTACAGCATCCCCACCAAAAGCCCCCAGTGAGTAAGCCATAGGCGACAGTGGCAAGGGAAAAACTCCCTAGAAGGAAGAAACCTTGGGAGGGACCAGACTCAAAGGGGGAGCCCATCCTCCAGGGGCCGGCAGGGAGAGTCAAATACAGTTAAATCTGAAACACAAACGGGGAGCAGGGGGGAGATGACAAGCCGGTGCCACTGCTCCCTCCAATCGCCAGGCAGCCTGAAAGCAGGGAGCGGGTCATACAAGGAAGATGACATAAGCAGAACGGCGAGCTGGATGCACGGACGTCATTGCTAGAGGCGACGTCACATGTAGCAGGGTGTGCTGGACATCTTGATAGATTGAGGTCTCCAGGCAGCTCCCCCCAGGAGAAGTAGGGGAAATAAATGCAATTAGTCAAAGTAAGGGAGACTACAGGCAGTGCTAAACGGTAGTTGAGTGCAATATGAAGTGCAATGCTCCGGCAGATATGGCTATGGCAGCATAAGTAGGAGGGAGATGCAGGTGGGAATTCAGGCATGGGGAGTCCCTGAAATGTCAGCAATCTAATCCCACAAGCAATTGTGAAGCTAGAGTGACAGCACTGTCAATTCAGTTTATCCAAAGCCAATGGTACCGATCCCCACCCAGCTCTACACCTCACACTATAGGTTTAAGTGGGAGTGAAGCTAGCTAGAGCTAGAACTAGTGTCCCTATAAGCTAAACTAAATAGGTGTGTTTTTAGTCTAGACTTGAATATTGAGAGTGAGCCTGAAACCCACACATCCGGTGGAAGACCGTTCCACAGCTGAGGAGCTCTATAGGAGAAAGCTCTGCAGCCTGCCATAGCTCTTTCTACCCTAGGTACTAACAGATATCCCGCACCTTGAGATCGAAGCAAGCATGGGGGATTGTATGTGGTCAGCAGATCACTAAGGTATTCTGGTGCAAGGCCATTCAGTGCTTTATAGGTTAACAGCAGTATTTTATAGTCAATCTGAGACTTAACTGGTAACCAATGAAGGGAGGATAAGACTGGTGTGATGTGATCAAATTTTTTAGTGTTTGTGAGAACTCTGGCTGCCGCATTTTGTACCAGCTGAAGTTTATTTAAGGAACCAGACGGGCAACCAGAAAGGAGGGCATTACAGTAGTCTAGTCTGGAAGTTACGAAGGCATGTATTAATTTTTCTGCATCACGAAGTAAATGGTAGCTGATTACGAGAAAGATCTCGGTATGTATGTTGATGCTTCCATGTCCCCCTCTCGCCAGTGTGGGGAAGCAATA